AGTAGTTAAATTTCAATCTTCATTTTAATGCATCTATTTTTATCCCTGAATGAAATGTAGTATATAAAATGTCATTGTGAATCTGTCCATAAATTATGTTCTTTCTTTCATAATAATTTTAAAGTTAATTCAATAATATGGAGCACTTATTAAATGTAGATAAGTGAGATTTTTCTTTTTAGATATATATTAATGGATATTAAAGACTTTGATAAAATGAACTTACAGTGTAAGCTTTAGTTGTAACATATTGATCTAAAGTAACATATTATGGAAAATAACTTGTTTATTTAATATTATGCAAAAATATGCTGTGAAAAATTATTTTGAAACTCAGGGGATTTTTGATGTTATATATTACAATGAAAGGAGTTTTAGAATCAAAAGTGAGAAATCAAGATTGATTTAGACCAACCTAAAATTATACAAACAAGACAAGGATTTAAAAATGTGTTAATTCCCATCACCCCATTTCTGGCCCAGATGATATTATTGCCTCCAAAGTAGCTGACTTGCTGTTAATCACCTAGTTGAGATTAAAAAAAAAAATCCCTAAACCCAAATCACCTACCCACAGATTGATGTACGAAATGTTTATTGTTTCACAAACTGAGTTTGGGGTGGTTTATTGCACGGAATAGTTAAGTAGAGGTGGACAGCCACAAGTCGATATGGTGGCTTTTGTTTGAAACCCGGACCCTTAACTCAGACAACTTCCTTCCATTCTTCTCACTGACCTGGAAACACCAAGATTAGTCCATGCTCTAAGTACTTGTATGGCTCTTACTATGAATTAATCACAGAGATAGATGCTGGAGATCACGCTGTGGGGGAAACCATACCTGACCCATATGTTCTTGGGTTTTAAAGTCTCACTCATAATGTACGATAACTAAAAAAAAAATGGGGAACTGATACAGTTTTTCTTGGAGACAGAGAAACAAACACCAGGATGAAATGCTTATAGTCAAGTTTATAAATCACAGATTTAGGCCAATGTAGCTGGCTTGTTCTCAGTATCAAGCACTATTTCACGTCCTCTTGAGATGGGCTCAGTCTATTCATCTTCACAGATACCTTCTCTGAGCTCCTAATTTCCTAGCTGATGTCCTGATTCCAGGTGAAGGGCTTCATCCGTTAACCCAATATCCAGGAGCTCCTTATCGACAACCGGGCCACTTCATCGTCAAGACCACAAGAGCTAGATCTCCACGCTGCTGGGGGCCACACAGTCTCCAACTCACGCTATACTGAAATCCACAGCCCCCTGAACCAGTGAATGTCCTTGGTCCACGGGTAACACCCCAGCCCCGAAGCCTGGAAGGAAACGGTTCCTCCAGCAGCTCCACAATTAAGCTCGTCTTACGGGACCAACAGTCCACTGCCACGGTTTCCTTACACACGTTAGGCAGTAGGATGTCCCTTTAGGAGGACATAGCTTCTCTTTCCTTGGAGGCATGAACAGGACAGCAGAAAACAGAACAGTGAAGAGAGAAAGGAAAGACCCTACAACTGAAACAATATGTTGAAGTAAACAAATTTGTTTCTAATCATATCCTGGTTCAGGTCATTAAAACCACTAAAAACGCTGCCCTCTGTGCTGGAACAAAGGCTGCGCCCCTAACCACACGGCCTAGGCAGCCCTCCAGCCAGCATCTTCCCGCTGGGCTGGTGCTGCTGTGCCTTGCCCTGCCCGAGACCACGGAGAGCGGGCTGGAGCTCTGGCAGCCCTCTGGGGCAATGTGACACCGTCGGGTGCATGCTAAGTCTTCCTGGGAAGACGCGGATGAAGGACGCCGCCTAAGTGACCCACTGCTACGTGCCACGCACCCCAAACCTGAGCAGCTTCAAACACAGACACTTACTATCTCATCCTTTGTGGGGGTCAGAAACCAGAAGGAGCTTAGCTGGACGACTGAATTGCAGTCCATCAACCAGGACTGTTGTCTCATCTCAGCCTTGACCGGGACAGGACCTGCTTCCATGCTGGCCTACGTGGCCACTGTCAGGATCCGTTCTGGGCCGGCTGTTGGGTTGGGGGCCGCGGATCCTCACTGGCTACTGGCAGAGCTCCCCCTGGTTCCTTGCTATGCGGGCCTTCCTACAGAGCAGCCCCCAGCATGGCAGGCTTCTCCAACACTGACCCCTGCCTAGGTCCCACCTAGCACAGAAGTCTGTCTTCCCCCACTCTAATCTTGGAAACCACACACCTCAGTTTGGCTGTATTCTACTCAGTAGGAGTGAGTTGACCCACAATCAAGGAGAGTAGAGTTATTTTTTGGACATATTTTTAAAACAGACGCAGATGCTGGTGAGTAAGGATATGCTTGGCTCGAGAAAGCCCCAGGACAGAGAAAGGAGAGTGGTTTGCTTCCTCCATGGGAACACCATTCCCTCCCACCTGGGGTGGGGGTGGGGGACGAGAAGGGGCAGGCAGCCTTCACTAGAAAAAGAGGAAGGTCCTGCAGCGTTGGGGTGTCCCCTCTCTGACCCTTGCAATCCTTCAGTCTGGGTCGCAGGGGAGGAAATACGAAAACTTACAAGGATCTCAGACTTTAATCAGAGAGCTGGTTTCTCCCAAACAAACTGCATTACGTTTGTGAGTTCACTGGACCCTGATCCTCAGTTTCTTCATCTATGAAATAGGGATAAAAATGACATCGATCTTGCAAGAGTTGCTTTGAAGATTGGGTGAGATCGGTTAAAGGGAAAATGCACTTTGTGATGTGTAAATGTTATAGAAAGTTAGTTTTTATTAGTAGCAAAAACAAAGCATTAATATTCTGTCACCCTTTGTTTTTTTTGTTTTTTTTTCCTATTCCTGCCACTAAGCACAGCCTCATCTTCTCAGGTTTGAGACACCCCCCCTTCTCTATCATATCACTACCAGTAATGGAATGTTCAAAACGCCACTCTTGGGCTAACCAGGCTGTTTTGCCCCAGGTTTGTACACTAACAAGGTCACAAATCACACACAGGGAGATAATGAGATCAGAGAGACTTCCTCATCCTCCTAATTCCTATGGTACTGACTAAAGCATATGGGCTCTCTCCCTCCTTCCTCCTCCCCCCACACAGGTGCTCTCCCTCTCTCTCAATCTTTGTCTAGGGTGAACATTTTAAGAAACCTTGTATCTGAGGAAAGAAGAGTTCATGCTGTTTTCCCATTTCCTACTACGAAGCAAAACTAACTCAGTTCGGGACTTCACAGTGTTTCTAGGCTGTGTCTCCCTTGATTAAGTTACTCTTATTCCCTAATTTACTTCCAGACCATAATATTTGTTAAATCTGCTTCCCTAAGCAAGAGAAAAACAGTTGATTTTATGATGGTTAAGCCCGCCTCTCCCAGGGGTCTTAAGAGGAAATGAGTCGATGATAAGTAATGCCACGATGCAGATGTTGCAGCCGTGGGGAAGTAAGCAGTGGGAATGTGGCCCTAAACACAAGAGCTGCACAGGGTGGGGTGGGGGGGGGGGCGCGGCAGGCACACTTCCGCTCCTCAGGCGTCCACTGGCTCTGAGCGATGGTCCAGCACAGACAAGCCATGCTTCCAGAAGAGTCACGATAACGCCCTCGAACCACAGCCACTAGGGTCCCATGGGAGACATCTCAGAGTGTGATCAGCGGTGGGGAGGGTGGGGGCGCTCCATGGGTTATCAGTCACACTGAATGAGTCAGCGGTGTTTCATGCCCCATGGCTGGTGTTTGCTATCTGCACAGATGAAATCTGCAGAGACAGTTCAAGTGGAGGGTGACGCAGGACGTCTTTACTTCCTCTTCTAAGGACAACTGGACCAAAGCCTGCGCTTTAACACAACGTTTCTTAGGTAATGACTGAGATGATGTGCTCACGGGCACCCTGTGAGCTCCAGTGTGTTATATGCATATATATATACACACTCTGTTCGGAGGCAGCCTCTGGTCCCTAGTGAAGGGGAGTCCTGATCCCCAGGGCGAAGAGGCCACTGAAGGACTCTACAGGCCTCACCTGCCCTTATAGCCTTTCCCCCCACAGCACGCAGTCCAAGGACAGCGAGCAGCTTCTCTATGTCAACAAAGCAGGTGAGAGCACATGGGGTCCACTGGGAATGCTACGGTCACTTGCAAAAGCCCCCGTCTCCTTATGCCCAATTCCACATCTGTGCCAGCAAACAGTCTGCTCCAGGATCCTGAACTCTGGGAGGATGGAAAGACCACGGGGAGGATGGGTGTGAGCAAGGGGTACTGTGTGGGGGACAGAGGCAAAGAATATTCTGGGACAAGAGTAGCAATCCTTTGTTGGGGAGATATGGGATGTGTCCTTGCGGGATTACATGTTCTCCCAAAAGGAGATGTGTACTCCATGTCACAGTAGCAAGCCCCTCAACCGGCAGGCCCTGACTTAGAAAGATCATGGCTATGCAGTGACTAAGCCCAAGGTGTGCGCTTAAGCATCACTCTGTTCAGACATGATTTACGTTGAGTGAGAATTAGTCACACACTCTCTTTGAAATTAAATGCATTGGTTTAATTTTTTTTTCTGGCTCTGTTATGATGGTATAAACTATATTTTTAAAAAGACAAAAAATGGGTGGACCTTTAATACACAATCTTTACTGTTGCAAATATTACTTTGGGAAGATTACACCATAATTTTCTGCAGCATCAAACGATAGGAACTCAGGGGAACACACTATTTTCAGTATGAGCGCCAATCCTATAAAGCCCTGGGCAGCTGTGAGAAATCCTATGGGGGTTCTGTGTGCAAAAATTCAGCAATCTATAAAATGGGTTGACTGCTGGGAGAGGCTTTCAGGAATGGGCTGCTACAATGAGCGGGACCCCCAAAGAGAGGATCTCCATTGGGGTTTTCCAAGATGTAGGCCTATGAGAGTGTTTCCCTTGAACCAGGCTCAGAAAGGATTCTGAGGTGCTCTCATGGAACCCAGATAAGGGCAATAATGAGGCAGCTGCTGTGAGGAGGCAAAACTTTTATTTTTTCAGGTAATGCTGCATAAACATGAAAGTTTCTCTTCTTGGCCCCTCTACCATTAGGGATCCCAAGTCGCTTGTCCGACAGGCACTCTCAACGCACCTTCAGTGGGAACACTTGGACTGTCCTTGAGCAGGAAGAGGATTGCGTTTAGACAAGTGTTCAAACATAGAGTTTAAAGTAGGCACCCAACTGTTGACAGAAAATGAGTTCAGCAATGCAGAAATGAAGAGTGTGAAGACAAGACACGCGTCTCTGCTCAGACACCACATATGCTAATTATCCAGATCTGAGACAGCCAGAGTTAGGTGGGAGGTGGGGTTAATAAATTTAATTTCAGAAAAGGTCTTCAGATATACCCACGCTCGTGAACGCAGCACAGCGCATGCATTACCCCCACAGAGAGCATCTCTAACTGCAGGGAAATGCAGCTGCCAGATGTGACAAGTTACTTACTAACATGTGAATATATGAGACTCACCAAGGAAACAGTTCTAATGTGAGCTTCAATAAAATTGGAAAAAAAATTTCATGGGTCTCCAAGGCAGGTGAGAATGTTAAAGCAGAGAATATTTCTTCTGGAATGTCAGGGTCTATTACTCTTGTCACTGCCCAAAGGAGAAAGTGATGATAAGTAGGAAGGTAGTTCTGACTGTGTTTCCAGAACATCCTGTGCACCAGCCATGCTCCCTTTACGTTTCAGAGCTCAGGATCTACCTGACACTCAGGTTGCTCTCTCAACTCCTCCCTTCAAATAGGTGTCATACAGCCTAGGTTCCTGCCACCAAAAACTGATAACAATCAGCCACCCTCTTGCTTGTTATTCCCTACCAGCTCTCCACCTTCCGAGCAACACCTGACACCTCCTCTGGTGTTAACCTCTGAGATTAGTAGAAGGCATGGAGCATGATGATGAAAATGAACTTCAAGTCAGGGAAACTCTGGGCTCCTCACAGCAGCCTTACCACCACATTCTGCAACTCTTTCTGGGTAGAGAATGAATGACATGATCAAAAAACAAATTTTTTTCGAGATTATGAAATACCCAGAAGATGACAGGCTATGTGTCAAACTACCATAGATCCTAGGGCAAGAGGATTTTTGCTAATAGCATGGTGAAGAGCATCCTTGACCTCCTTGTTCCTCAGGGTGTACACCACAGGGTTCAGCAGGGGGGTGATGACTGTGTAGGTCACTGAGATCAGCTGATCCTGATCCCTGGTATCTTCGGACTTGGGCTTGAGGTAGGCAATGGAGGCACAGCCATAATGGATGATAACCACCGTGAGGTGGGAGGCGCAGGTGGCGAAGGCCTTCTTCCGGCCCTGGGCAGAGGCGATCTTGAGGATGGTGGAGATGATGAGGATGTAGGAGATGAAGACCAGCCCCATGGGCATCACAATAACAAGCGAGCTGATGATAAAATTAATTATGTCATGTAGAGTGGTGTCTGCACAGGAGAGTTTCATAACTGGGCGGATGTCACAGAAATAATGGGCCACTTCTCTGTCACAAAAGGGCAGCCTGAACACAGAGGAAATCTGAATTATGGCCACAAACAGCCCAAAGCTGAAAGCCCCCCAAACGAGCAGGGCACACACCCTCTTGTTCATGAGGACTGTGTACCTCAAGGGGTTGCAGATGGCCACGTAGCGGTCGTACCCCATGGCCGTGAGCAGGAAGCAGTTGTTGATGGCCAAGGTGAGGAAGAAGAACATCTAGGTGGCACAGCCAGCCAAGGAGATGGGTTGGCTAAGACCTGTAAGGCTGCAGAGCATCCGCGGTACAATGACCAGTGTGTACATGGTCTCGGAGGTGGAGAGCACACTGAGGAAGAAGTACATGGGTGTGTGGAGATGACGAGCAAAGCTGATAATGGTCACAATGATGACATTGCCAGCCAGAGTTAAAAGGTACAACGTAAGAAATATCACAAAGAGGATGACCTTGTGTTCTTGGAAGCTGGAAAACCCCTGGAGAATGAATTCACTCACCACTGTGTGGTTCTTGGTCTTCATGGATGAATTGTTGGGTCAATACGATGGAGACTCAGGCCCGTCAGTGAGTCAGAACATGCCTGTGCCCCGCGCCTGCTCAGGACCAGAAGGGGCAACAAGGACCTGCTCCACGGGATGTGTCAGGTGCATGGGTCCTCCTGTGCCCCAGGAGGGAGAAGGCAGAAAACATAATCAGGAAGCAATTGCATGTACAAGGAGTTTTGTATAAAAGCACAGAAGAAGAAACGGATGGGATAGGGTAGCAGGAAGGATACCTGGGCTAGTTTGGAAGAGGTTTTCTCATGAGCCAGAACATGGGTGTTTGGAGGCAACTGGAGCTAAAGAATTAGAAAACGCGTAATTTTGAGAAGAATTTTCTCATGAATTACAGTTTCAGATTTTTATTTACCTAAAACAAATTGGCCAACCTCTTCCACTTTATTGAAGTCACAATTTTGATCATCTTCTTAAAGATCTTACCTTCCGAGTTGCTAACTGGGACAACGCTCTCTGCTCTGAGGGGACCTGAGTGTTTGTTCTGTCCCTGTTCCACCTGTCTACGTCTTTTTGTGAACCCTTTTCACAAATCATTCAACTGCTTCAAACCTGACTGCCCTCCCGAATGTAGTTTTTAACCAGACACATTCCCCCTCTTTCTTGGGTACTGACGGACCCTCCTCTTGCTCGGAGGGACCTCCCAGGACCAGCCGGGCCCTGTCGATGCACGCCTTGTGTGTGTAGGTCAGTTACTAAGTGTTGGTTCTCCTGCACTGTGTGTATTTTCGTGTTTTGCAGCTGGTGCTTGGACATGAATTTTCACAGGTGGTCTGACTCATGACTAGACTCTGAGCTCTCTTTTCTAATTTCTTTAGAATAATAAACTGTACCTCTGGGGAAACAAGTTTGCATACCGTCTCTCACTATCTGGGGAGTTTTAGAGATCAACAAGTTCTCATTTAAAAAAAAAACAGTTTAATAATAATAACAATAATAATAATAACAACCAGGATAGTTCCTTATGGCACTTTTTGGTTTATGAAGAGTGTTTATATGTATTATTTAACAGCACATCAATCCCATCTGTTCAATAACTATCTTCATCTTGCAGATGGGGAATCTAAGACACCTAGGGTTTGCTGGTTTGCCCAAAATTAGTAAGTCATAGATCCAATCTTCTCATTTTAAGGCCAGTGTGAATTGCCTTTACCACAACTGCCTGAAGAAGCATCATGGCTACAAAACAGGGGAGAAAGAAGACACTTTTTTCCCCCTGGCTTTTATTGAAAAGAATTAAAGGATTTTCCTCACTCTGGGAATGAGATTACATTGGGAAAAAAAATTGGAAAAACTGGAAAACATTGGGGAAACCGGAAAAATTTTAGTATGTTTACCTTGATAAGTAAATGAAAAATTAGCATATTAGTGACCATGAGTGTCCGTTCTCCTAGGCTTAATACTTCTGCTGCCAATTACTTACTTTAAAGAAATAATCAGAGAGATGTATCAGGATATATGTGTAAGAAGCTTTTATGATATTATTTATAATAATGAATACCAAAAACAATGTAAATAAGTAAAGGAATAATGAATTATAATATATCCATCTGATGGGAACTATGGAGCTATTAAACATCTAATGTTCTGACATGGAAAAATATGATAGGTAGATAGATAGATAGTCCATAATTTTTCAAAAATGAAAAGAAGAAGGAATAAACAATGAAGGGAAACATGGAACAGTACACACACCATTAAAAATGGGTTGGAAATAAATATACCAAAATGCTAAAAATATTTTTTTCTGGATAGTGAATGGAGAATCTTAAATGACTTTTCTTTTTATCTTCCCTATATAATACAGATTTTCTTAATTATTTCTCTTCTAAACATACCGAAAAATAACTGTTAAATTCTTCTTACAATGAGACTCCATAATGAGGCTGCAGTGAGGATTGAAGAGAAAAGGAAAGAGAAAAGGTAAATGTAGTGGGTTAATTTACCTTGGAGAGGAGAAAGCTGACAGTATCATGTAAGACCAAGTTAGTCTCCGAACAGGAATGTCATAGAAATTTGAGCACCCAACAGCCAGATCCAGAGGAAATTAACTTCGGTTTTTAAAGAAAGATTGTAGTTGGAAAAAGAAAACCTTTCTGAACGGTGTTGGAAGTGAAGTATGGCACGTGAGGCACTCATCTTGGATGCAACATTTAGGGGAGCACCAAAAAAACTCAGTGATCAAGATGAACACGATTTTGATGCAGTATTTTTTTTAAAAAGCTAATGCAAAAATCCATGATGAACAAAATATTAAAATTTTAAATAGAGACAAAATAAAAATTCTGACTATCACCACAGTGGGATGCAAGCAGCTAAATGAGGGCAGATTTTGGAATTTCCTTACTAAAGATTTTGAGGAATAGAAAAATATAAAATATTTTCAAAATATAGGGGGAAATGGAGAGCAAATTATGTGTTCATTTTCTTTTGAGATGTGGTGATAGGCTAGTCTTGAAACCACTGCTGTTTAACTGAGATTCATGATGTGTTACTGAACAAGATAAAACCCCAATCTTATGTAACTGGAAAATCAATCCTACCTCCCAATCCTACCTCCGCTAAGGGAGTTGAGAAGATAAGCAAGGATATAGAAGAAAAAAGATCGAATTGAGCTTGTGCCTCCCTCTCCTCTCTCATCACCCCCTCGGGAAAACGAGGACTCATCAAGACGGCAAAAACCTGGTGAGTGTTAACACCATGATAGTAAGGTCATGACAGCAGAAACAAAATGGCAGCCTACTTCTGTGGAATCCAGGTCACCAAGAAGAACAATACTTTACACCACTTGCTGTTTTCTTGGATTCTGGATCTTTAGCCAGAAATATCCCTCTACCCTGAAAAAAAAAGTCAAAATATTTCCTTCTAGAGTAATCATGTTCTGCTTAGACCTGACAAGCAATCTTGGGCAAGGGGTTAATCTTATCTATTTCATTATTCAAGTCTTTCCAATGGGAAGCAAGCTGGGAAAACCCATGTGCTTGGTGGCGTTAAGTCCTTTAATATAATGGAATCACAGGACCTTAGTACTAGGAGGTAATTTTAAAAGCAAGCATTCCTCACAAATAGTCCCCCAAATTCTGCTTCAGTGCTTCCAATGATTGAAAATTCATTATCTTACAAGTTAGCATCCTCTCTCTCTCTCTTTTTTTTTTAAAGATACCAAGTTTACCTAAAAAATAAAACCAGGCTTTTTATATTATAAAAATGCTTTCGGGGAAAAACAGCCATCTGTACAAAAGGATATAAATGGGAATGTTAGATTTCTTTTCCTGTGCTTTGCATTCTCTGGTCCAGGGGTAAAAATGATTCATGTCTGTGTCTTTCTAAAATTTCTGTCTAGAAATTTTCTAAGTACAATTGTGCATATTTCCGTATCATTTCAATTTTACACAAATGAAATGAAACTGCACATACCAATTCACAACTAGCTTTTTTCACTTACTATTATGTCTTGAATACTCTTGATAACAGTGGAGTGGATCTATCTCTTCATTACCAATGGTGCACACTTTCCCACTATACAGATCCATATAGATATACTATCATCTATTCTATTGTTGAGTAGCCTTGATTCTTAGAAAATATCACTTTTATTGACTCAACATCTGTCTCCCTGCAACTTGCCACTTCCCCACATTATCCTACCTTCTATTTCCTTTTCAGCTCGATAGTGGAAGATTATTATCATGTCTCTGCTAAATTTCATGTCTTTGAATCCATTACGACAGCAAGATGAGCATGAAGAAATATAATATTAATGGCATGAGAATCAATACAACCAAAAAATAATGAAAAACTTAGAGGGAAAATAGTAAGAATTTCAAAAACACACATGGCATTCCATTTTCACTTAGTTCTGCCCACAGCCACTCACTGCTTCTGACCTTGGCGAAAGGAAGAAGGAATCACTTTCTAGATAGTGATTTTTAAAAGTCACTGAAAGAGCTCAATCTATTCAGAGGAAGCCGGTAAAAATACCTTGTGTTCAAGAGCCATTTACAAGGGAAGCTAAAACCTACAAAGCAAGGAAAATTCAGCTTTCTCTAGTATCAGAGAAAACCTCAAATTATTGCTATATTTCTTGAAGTTGAGGGCATTGGTTCCTTTGGCTTGAGAAGTAGTCCTGGAAAAAATGCAGTCTCTTAAACTCCAGATTTTAGGAGCTTTGACTATTTATTATCCCCAAGGGAAGCAAATCCCTCGTGCCAGGTCTCCTGAGATCATCCTTTTGAAAATCCCTCTGGGGTAACAAGAGCTAAGGATGAGAGAACCCTAGGGCTTGTCTCAAGAGCTTCGTTAGGAACTTGGGTAGCAGACAAGGGAGATGCTTTCATTTGTTTACTCACTGTTGGGGACTGTTGGGGTTTCAGAAACCAATACTGCATTGGGTTTAGTCAAGTAAAACCACGGGGACACTGGATAAGCTTAAAAAGAGAAGACCCTATATTCTAGTTTTTCAGGATCAGAGAACAGAAAACTTCCTGCAACTTTTCCAAATATGATCAGGGCACACAGAGGGGAATGGCGGCCAGGGCTTCTCTTGTCCAGTGTTGGCCCATAGCCACTTTCCTTAAGGCTCACCAGACATACATCTCTGCCTAGCTCCCATTGAGGGAGACCCACCTCCCACGCTTGGAAAGACAGAGGCTGCTGTCAGGCCCATTCCTCATGCTCCCTTTGGTTCATTCTTGGATCTTGCTGGAGAGAGAATGACACAGCAGATCTCTGCCCCAGTTCCTTTAGTTTCTGGTTCAGCGTCACCATCTCCATCAAGGTTCTCTGGGCACAAGGGAGATGTCTGAGGAGCCATTTCAGCTCTGCGCTGCAAAAGGTGATTGCTGTAAGGGTCTTCCACCCAGACTAAGAACTTTCTTTCTAAAACCATCCTATTTCCCCTTGGTTAAAAACAGTAATATGTGTTCATTTTAGAAAACACAGAAAATAGGGGAAAAAAGATCACATAAATCACTTATGATCTCCAACTT